CCGGGAAATAAACGTGTAAAACGTGTGCGTTTTCGAGTTCACCTATACACCGATTTGCCATACCTCGGACGATTTACCATGCTCCAGTTCTGTTTTGTTTATATTTTAATGTTATAATGTCATACGTGTATTAAAGAAAGAAAAACGGTCCCCGCAAACAACCCAGTGACCCTATTCGCCGAGTCACGGGGACATAATCAGTTTACCAGACACGTACGGCATAATGATATCCATCGAATCGTTCGTAACAAATTCCTGCTACTAACATTGTCGAGCACCGCATAAATCTTTTATTTTATTTTTCATACACAAGCAGTGTTATATGAAAATGTTCGCCGGAAAGAAAATTCGTGTACTTATACCGTATTATTTTGCTACGATTCAACGTCAAAGACTGAACGAATGTAATTACAAAAAAATTATACGAACAAATATTGTAATTAAAATTTAAAACAATTATATGTGTACTGTCACCCGAAATAGAAGGAAAAAAGATTAGTTTCACAATGTGTTTAATTACTCAATAATTATAAGGCGAATGCGTAGGTATGCTTACCAATTAATGATTTCTGCTTATTGTAAACTGTTTTACGTTATAATAAATATATTTAACGTTTTAGAACAATTTAATTTTTAACAATAGTTCTACACTTATAAAAATATTATTTTGGATTAGGAGGTGTATTTTTTAAAATTCCTAATTTTTTTCTCTCCATTTCTGAAGAATTTACTTTCAAACACCATATTAACTTTAGTTATATACAAATAAAATAATTAATTAAATGCCTTATACAATTAACTTTTATTATTATTTATTTTTATGATATAAAAAACAGTTTATACTCAATTCATGGTGTTTGGTCGTCGTGCGAGAGATAATTATTACAATTAGGATTTAGGCATGTGATAGAATATAATTGTCTGTCAATCATTTTTAATCGTCATAGAATTTATTTTAGAATTAAATTACATCTTCAGTATTAAAATATTATCAAATTAAATAATTTAACACATCTATCATAATAAAGGACATGATTTTAATTTAGAAAATGCGCGTTAACTTTCCATTACATCTCGAACTAAATAATAACATTGTTTAACAGTCGAGTGACACAAATATAACATTTGTCTTTAATACAAAAATGAGATGTTTGATATAACATGCACTCATAATGGATGATAGTAAAATGTTTGATCAATTATTTGTACAAATTATTATAAACCTACACCACTAGTAACTTAATTATTTTTACCTATACATAATATACGTTTAATAACTCTACAACATGCATGTAGAGTAGATACAATATTTGATGGAGTTTTTTTTTCTCAACAATAAAAAATAGTAAAAAAAATAAAAATAACGAACCATAACGTTAATCACGTTAATAGACCATTTATTTAGCAATTTTCTAAAATTCTTTAAAAACGCATTGTGCTCTTCGAACAATAAATATACGTATATATTATATTATGCGTGTATGTGTGTGTGCATACGTCACAATGACTAGTCAATAGATTTTAAAAAAAACCAAGGTTTCGAAATTTTCAACCCTAAATAAAACTATTAGCGGTTATTTGTATTTTATTTATGTTCTACCATGATTGTCTATACGTAGCTCCGATGTGTTCAAGAAGTTTAAAAAATACTAAAATATTATTAGTAATCAATTGATTTTCTCTCGTCCGGTAAGAAATCCGATGGTTATATTATATTCTGAAGTTATATTTTGTCACGTATAAGTATGTATAAATGTAATATATGGTGAATGATCATTACATAAAACTCTATACTTCAAAACGTATCGTGCATCCTATTCTGCTATTGGTTTGTCAAAGTTTCGTCTGCGTACTAAAGGACCATATATACGCGCCGCGATACAACGAATTATATTTTTCAGAAAACTTACATGTACAAGACACACACTAACGTCAAGTTAGAAACACTAACAAGTCACATACATCAAGTGCGTGCGCAATTATGCTGTTGAAACAGATAAACACCCCAATTTATTTAATAATCTTCGGAGTGATAAAAACGACTTAACGGTTCATTGGTCGCAGTAATTTTCTCGTGCTTGACGATTACAAGTTGATGTAACAACAGACGATGATTTAACTAGTATAATTAAATATGCGATTGTCAACGAAATTTTGGCAAGCGAAACCGCTCATTTATTATTATTATTGTAATACGGGCGGGGCTCACTATTTAATATATAATATGTAATAAGTATATCACTGTGCACACGGTTACTCTGAGCGACGCGAGTGCAAAGTACAGTAACACTATATTATTTTATTATATTTTACCGGACGAGAAATGTTTTACGCGAGATCAGCTTGTAACCGTGTATATTATTCCACGTTTCGTATTTTAAAACTATCTACCGCGCTAATACATAGACATGTGGTTAAAAAAATATATATATATATGTAACACTAAAAAAAAAGATAAGGAAGTATTCAAGTGTCTACGAATATATACACTGGCGTTTCGATAAAGTAAAAAAATGGTACGAAATCCGTACCACGAAACACACAACACGTGGCTTCGCGATACTCAACGTTCCAAGTGCACATATTGATTGCGTTAAAATTATTTTATAATATGTTTCGTCCACATAAGGATAATGCGTGAAAATATTTTGGAAAATCTCGAAAAAAAAAAACAATTGATAATAACAGTCTTAACGGTAGAAAGACACCACTGCGAAGGAGAGATACCGTTTAGTATACGTTTATCGCATGGCAACACCTATTATAACGTGGAGGTAATCGTGGTCGATCAACGATCAATCTTATCGAATTATTTTATAGCGATGACAACGAAATCCTATATCGAAGGAATCTCCCGTAACTTACGGATAATCGTTTTCGCGCAGCATCGACGGGGGTAATTATTTTTTACAACCGAGTACGGAATCGCGAATTATTCATACCCTACGAACGACCGGATTTTTACGACACCGTTGTGCAGGCGCAAATGCGATGGTAATAATTTGCATTTCAAAACCGATTCTACCGTCGGGCGCGAATGAAAAAAAAAAAAACCTCACCCGTACGGATTTTATCGGGAACCGATTTCCCGGCACTTTCAGATGGCACGTACACGACACGGTACACGCGCAGACAACGTTATTTTTGAACGTTTCGCAAACGGGTGTCAACGTCCGCCGGGGATTCACGGCCGATGAGAAACTGACCGATTTCACCGGATTCGTGCAAAGGGATCGAAGGGCGATCGGGATAAAATAACAAAAACCTGTAGAGCACTCGAAAAAATTAAGTGTTTTAAAACAATTTAAGTGTTTTCGGACAATGTTTTCGTGACGATTATTAAACGTATCCTCTCCACAGGTGTATAATAATACGTGCACAGGTGACCACGTGTCACTGCGTATGTAGTACACCGATCGAAGACGACATGTGCGCACATTTGCTACTACGACGACGGTTTAATTGCAGAAAGTGAGGTGGAACGATTGCATGTTCGGGCCGCGCTATAATCGTTTCGGATTTTGGCGAAATCGATGAATTAATGACGCGCACATTAGGCGACCCGGGGTGCACGAGTGTATAATCGTTTCGTGTGCAGGCCTTCATCGTTTCGAACGTACGTCGAAGAGCGATCTCAGTGAAAGCGTATCGTGTCAAAGTCAAACCGAGTATAGTGTCACACAATGGACGCGCGAAAAAAAAAAACAAAAAAAATTAATTATATACGTGTAATAAACAATAAATTAATATATGTTATATTCCGCTACGTGGAACGCGTGGTCGTGCTTGTTGATGGAGTACACGATTACTTACTGACGAGCTCGTGCGTTTTTACCGAATAAACGTAGTACTACCGGTCATTTCGTTCCCATGCCGAAAAACGTCCGGCAAACACGACCCCGAGTATCTTTTGGTATTTCTTCTGATAATTGTCATTTTAATGTTTTCTCGCGCAAATGCCACGTCGAAATTTTATTTCGTCGATCCGATACACGGTCGAAACCAGTACCGTGGCGGACAATATGAGAGTCCGGAATAACACACCGATTGTGCACGTGCCGGAATAAAATAATCAAAACTTTAGTCACAGAGGAAAACAATGAACGCTCTGGGCTACGCATATCACAATCGTGATCAATACATATTTCTTAAAAAAAATCGATTTCAGCAACAAGCAAATTAGCTCTTGTGTTTTTCTCTCTCTTTTTTTTTTTTTTTTTTTTTTTATCGATTACAACGTTTTAATAAGTACGTATAATTATCACGCGCGCCACAATCAATTATTTATCAAGTGTTATTAAAATAATACCGTCCATTAAATCATATCAGAATATTATGCTTTTCCACTACAGTATCATCGCCCAGCGATTTCGAATAATTGAACGGTGTTAAATTTTCACCGTACACAAACGGGCTTACGGAGATCACGTATTGAAACGGTACCAAGGGGACAAGGGGGAAAATTAGCAGACAATACGGCGCACAACAATAGAGCTAAACCGTGAACCGGTTGCCGAATACGAATTTTATGATACCGAACGTCTTTATAACGCGCGCACGAAATATCCTAGAAATGAATCCGAAACGAAAAACGTGTAACGACAGATCTTGTACGGTAAAACACATAGTTTTCGTTTGCACGCTGGACCCGTTGACCGTGATCGCAACGCTGTTATTATACCGGAGTGATTAATTTAATGTTATACGTTCGCCCATTGTACACGGTAAACGATATGTGTACGGTTGGAATTATAGAAACGAATAATATACCTTAACACGACCATCATATATATAAATGTATAAACTAACCACTAGCTGCGACGAGGACAAATCTCGCGCGGCCGAGAAAAAATAAGTATAAACGCGAGACCGACGGAAACGGAAGACGTTCGGGTAAAACATTACGCCGTGTAACCCGTGCGCACGTCCACGGGTGTTGTTTAATGACGTTCGGACCGATGCAGCCGAATAACAACATTCGGTCGGTGTAAAATATTTACCTACGGGACCCACGTGAGGTCGATCCAGTCCGGTGTGCCGGGTGCGATGCCTGAGTATTCCTGCAGTGCGGTGCGCGTGCGATGCTCGTGCGGTGCGACGGGAAGGGGGAAAAAAAATGTACAAAATAATAATAACAATCACCGAGAGGACCGCAGCGGAAAATCGGACTCCGACGGACGGATGGCGGAGAAAAACTGATGGTACGCGAACTCGGCGTCAACGAACATGTACGCGGTAATACATGTTATTACATCGACACGGCACAAAAAAAAAAAAAAAAAAAACGAAAAAAAAACAAAAAAAAAAAAACCCCGAATAGGTTTAATTTTTTGTTTTTCGACGATAAATAAATAAACAACAATAAAAACTACGAGTTAATAACGTAAAAATAATTGAATCGGTGTAGTAACAGCGAACGCGGTCGTTGCTGTCGAACAATAAATAAAACGTGTGTGGAAACGCGAGCGGGAACGTGCGCGAGTGTAGAGAGCGCGAACCTTCCGCGGAACGACGACTGCTTGTTGCCGACTGCTGCGTTCGAGACCGTCGACGGAGGTGGCGGCGGCGGCGGCGGCGGCGGTAACGTGTTGTGACGATGACGTGCCCGCGCAACGGAACTCATGCCGTCTCCAAATGAGATCTGACGGACTCGCGTGTCGGGGCAACCGGTGCGCGCTCGCACATGCGCAAAACGGACACGCGAACGGGACGGCACCGGGACGGTTGTTGTTGTTGTTCGTCGACTCGGCGGTGCCCGACGTTCGGAAAGAGTGCGCGACGGAGTCGGAGTCGACGGTAACCGCGGTCGCGGTACACTCGTGTGCACCCGGGGCGGCCATCCCTCCCCGGGAGTGGGGTCGGGGTGTCTCTCGGCTTCCGTAGCCGTACTGGGATTCACGTACGGGATCAACGCGCCCGTCGGCTGTCGTCGTCGGGTCGTCTCGTCTCGGCGGAACGCGCGTATGATTTTTTCGACCGTTTCCCGTCCCCGAACACGTGCAGCAACTGTCCCGACGCGTTCGGTCACGCAATACGCCCCCCTCTCTCCACCCCCCCCCACCTCCTCCTCCTAGGGACCACTCTTGTGGTTGTTCTTCAACGCGATACACGTGGTGCAATGTACGTTCAACAGATTTTGCCTTTTTCCACGATCCCTTCTCCGGAAACGGTCGTGTTAAAAAAAGATAAATAACCGACAGCAATCAGTCTAAGCTAAGAAGTGTGCGTTTTCAATTTTACGATTGCAATTCTTACCGATTCGACCGATCGGTTGATGAGGGAAGGGGGGGAGATACCTTCAACACAATCGCTTTTTTTATTCGGTTTTTTCTTCCCGTCCGTCACGAAGAATCGACAATGGGAGTCCCCATCCTCCAAACGGTCCTCCAGAATTGTTACAGTTTTTTTTATTCTCACTTAGTCAAGCCGTTTGGCCGCGGACGCTAAAGACGGATGATACGACCGTGATGCGCGATATTTTCGCGATAACAGGAACGCGTTTTCGACGTGACGAGAGATACGGGTGGATAGCGTACACCCAGTGCCTAGGATCGCAATGATTGTTCAATTTCAGTGGCCGAACGATAATCCGGGCCGTGAACACTGACGTCGTGTTACAGATAAATTACGTGTACTCCGCACGAAATATGCATAGTGCGATGTGTTAAACATACATTCGTTTTACACGCAAATCGTATGTTTATGTTATATTTCATTTACGTGCGCGTGGTTGGTGAACGTATACGTAAGGTCAGTAAACGTACCGTTTTGAAAGTTTTTCGCATTTTCGTCCCGTTGTCCCCAGGAAATTTTCGGAACACTAAAATGCTCCGATTTCAGAAAATAGTAAAAATAACGATAACCGATCCGTTTAATCCCCGTCGACGAGTTATTGTTTCTACTAGTGGCGTATCCAGAATTTTTTTTTTCGGGAGGGGTTATAAAAAATGTAACATTCAATTTTTTTTGAATTTTGTGTGTTTTTATTATAATCAATAGACAATATACATACATTAAACGTTTTCGAGGGGAGTTATAATCCCCTAACCCCACCCCTGGATACGCCACCGGTTTCTATGAGTATTATATTTAACTATTAAGTGTGCGTGTAACGTGTATACACTGTATCAGGACTGGTTCACACGAAAGGCGTTAAACGTGCGTTAGTGCATTGTTACCGCTGTTCACGTGTTTACCGAGTTTATACCGTAGTCAGTGGAATATTGTGTACCGTCGAAAACAGACATTGCGGATACGATTTGTTCGTGTATCGAAGAAGACAGCGTCGTTTCAAATTGCCGATAAAAATATTTTATTTAAATGCTGTATTTGATTGTAAAATGAATTTAAAAACCATGAATTTTTTTTTTCTTTCTTCCGTGTCACTTGGACCACAAAAAACGAGAAAACTTTCTCCCAAGCCCTTCTTTTGATTTTTTTCATTTCCATAAATAAATCATTATCAAATTCTTGACCATCCACTTTACGAAAAAACAACTGAAAACATTGAACTAGAAGAACCTATCGCTTCAAAACGTCCGTTGCAACTGAACACATCAACGCGAATCCGTGAAACGTTATGACACGTGCGTGGACAAGGTACTTGCGTTATCGCTGCGTCGGACGCGCGTCGCCCTTCAACGCACGTTATCATGTGTACAGTTAATACCGATTGTATGATTAAACGCGCGTTCATCGCCTTACTAACCCTTACTGCGTGGATGACGTCGAACGGAATCAGGGCTATGCGGTGTGTCGGAACATAACCACACTGATAAAAAAATTAAAAAAAAAAATCTATCGCGGCGAACGATGTATCGATACGGACGTATTAATCTAATGTGTTTTAAATACCGCAAGATCACCGCTGACAAAAAATTATTTTTCGTAGTTCATCGCCACAGTCATCACGGACCGTTTCTTTTTCTTTACGTAGACGCTTTTTCTTATTTATAAAAAATAGTTGCTTTCGATGAAACGTAATTTTTTTGTCTCTTAAAACCATAACAGTACGTTATTGAAAATTGCCGAATAAAAAAATGTTTTCAATCGAAATGATCCATTTTTCCCGGTTTCGACAAGAAAAATATACGGTCACCTTACGTACCATACGCCGCAGTACCTGTACGTAACGATCATTTGCGTGCTCGCACAGTTATTATAATATCGTCACCGAGTCGCACGTATGTGCTAATTGATTTTTCCGACATGTCAAAAGAGTTCGTACGATTACGATTACGTTTTCGGATTACTACGTAATAATAATGCAACCAGCACACCATCAATACTATTACGTTGCGTCGTATTACGTATGTTTACCATACAATAATAGATGATACTTTCTTGTCAACACACATATTTTTGTCACAATTCCGTTGCGTTCCGCGTGCATATATTTATAATAGCGCTGTACGTACGACATAATGGCCATTACTCGTCACTATGTTTATTTTTATTTTTATTATTATTACCACCGTGGGCATCTCCGCTAATTATTCGAAATTCTAATGCGTTCAATTTCCTGTTCGTACATACGTGTCGTGGATAATGCGATAACTCTTATGGTACACAAATTGTTCAGCGCGTTCAACACGTACAATATGTGTATCGACTGTTGCGCCACACCGACTCCTCGCTGTAATCCTCGAAATAATCGCACGATAAACGAACACCGTGTGTTCATTATAATACACGGAGCACACGATGATGCGTGGATTATTACCTTCACTAGATTTGTAATGTTAATGCTGTTTTCTCCGTGAAATCAGCTATAAACACCATATTGTGTGCGAGTGCGAGTGTTGAATACTTTTACAAATAACTTTTGACACGAGAAAATGTGTACCGATTCGAATCAGTCCGTACAATGTTAAACAATAATAAAAAACCATTGGTTGTTACTATTATTGTTCGTCATACCGTAATACAAAAATAGCCTTCGTATAAATGTAACGCGTTTTTTTGATAATTGATAGTGGAATAGTAATGGACATTTTTTCCATATCGTCACTCGTCCGGCGTGAAGCGCGCAGTGGTCAAATCTGGTTTTCAAAAATACAATTAAATTACACGCGGAGGAAATAAAATATAGAGTGTATAGAATAAGGTAACGAATGAGGAACGGACGGCCGCGTTAAAACTATTGTACACAACTCTCGCTACGTATACGTTTAGAACTCGTTCTATTCGGATTGTTTTTAGTTTTCTTTTAGTCCATCTCAAACGAAACTGGTATACACACACTACGTGGCACATACGTCTACGAGTAAGTTCTTGACGGTTTTTTCGATGTTTCGACGATGAAAACAAACGAAACGTCAATCGTATCACATAATACGAACAAACCAAACAATTTTATATAGGTAAAACGCACAACGAATCGAATTGAATTGTCAATATTTCAATACAATTACAACGATTAAGTTCTATGTAAATATTGTGTTTACGCATTTCAATCTGAACATATTGTTTCGGGGTTATCGGCAGTAGTCTACAGGCTGGGCGCCAATGATAAAATATTTATATACTGTACTTCAAACGGTATTAATAAATTTTTTAAAAATACCACCGGAATCGCGCAGAAAAATTAATTTTTTTTCTTGGATCACATTTTTAATTACACATACTTCTGGTGTTGTACAATTATACGCAGCGTTAAGATATGAAACGTTTTTAACTAGTCGAAATGAACGGAAACGAATTGACGTAAAACTATAAGAATGCGACATCCTGAATATCATTATGTGAAACCAAATACAAAGGTCCAATCTAAAAATGTTGGCATGAAAACAATTTTTTTTTCATAAAAAAAACACATTACTCGTTTCACTCAGGATCTAAGAAAATAAAACACAATTTTTTAACATAACGACGATAATAACTAAAACATAATATTAAATTTAATTGTTCGATCATCACTTTAAGTCGATTGTGTTACACTTCATAATTTGTACAAGATTGTAAATCTAAAAATATAACTATAGTTTTGCATAATAATAATTTATTTAAAACATTTTTAATTTAAATTATAGAAATAAAAGCGTTTTGCGTACAACAAAATGTCATACGAATATTTATACACAAATTGCATTCATAATAATAATAAGTTAACAGTTAACTTAATAGCTTAAGGTGAATTGTTTTAGCAATAAGATCACAATTTTTAATCCGGATCGCTTTTGATGTCTTACGATAATCATTAAATGATTAAAATAAACAAAGTGTAATAAATATATATATAATAGAACTTGTTGAGTTTTGAAACTCGAATAATATCTTACTGGTACAAAGAAAAAAAAAACC